GGGCGGGAGTGAAATTAGAACATTGTCTTGAACTTCATCCTGCTTCTATGAGTTTTCTGGCAGAAAACTTCTAGACATGTGGAGAGGTCATACTTAGTGTCCTCAGGGTTGAAGGACTCTGAGGATTAGCCTGACTCAGTAGCCCCAAGAACAAATGTTACAGGGTAGGGCGTGAAACAAGATGTTCCTAAGAGGAAAAAAAGAATGATAAAAATATTCTGCTAAGCTAGAAGGTTTGGTTTAGCAACAAATGACTGGCAGTCAATCACTTTACACTATAAAAGCCTAGTCCCATTTTTGAATGATAGGGATCCTCATACACTCGCTCCACAGCAGTGTGTTTGGAATCCCTCCCTTGAGTGGGGACGTCCCTTAAGGTTACCCCTTGGGACTGAGTGAAAGGGAGCTACCCACAGTCATCAACATGGATGAGTAACATCAATCTCTATAAAAATAATTACGTAGCTAGCTAGCTTCGAACTCCTGATTTAGTAAATGATAATTATAATGAATAGTAGCTATGGGGTTTATACCGTGTAGGAGATGTTCTGATTAATGTCCTTTAGCCTGATCACACCTTTGCAATTATGATAAAGTGGTTTTTTTTTTTTTTTTCCTTTGCTTACTTATATATAGTTTAGTTTGCCATCCGTAACCCCACGGGACAGTTACCACTGCTGGGCTTTTTCAGGTTTTCCAGTGCATTGCTTCGAATTTTTTTTTTTTTTTGGAGAGGGAGGGGACTTGCGAATTTAGTAACACACAAAGCAAAACTGTTACAAGAAAAGCTCCTAGACCACCTGATTAAACTTGTAGCCCATGTACCTCTTTATTCTCTTTCCTCCTGAGCCTCCTCCAAACACATTGGTTTCACAGTTTTGCGGTTGAGCTGCAAAGCTGAAGCTCTACAGCAGCACCCGTCTGCCTGTGGCTCTACCAGCCGGGATCAGCATTTCATATCAGGTAATCTTATTAGAGGGTAGGAAGAAATGCAGGCTGACAGCAGGACAAGCAGGAGCACCAGCAAAATTGTGGCAAATTCCTGGTATATGGGTGTCCCACAGCAACACGATGGGACCAGTCTCCCAGGGGACAGCAATGGTGCAAGGATGCAGGAAGGGCATCCTGTCTTCCCTGTGGAAAGCAGGAGCTGCCCTGAAGTAAAATAGGATACTGGCTTGGAGGCTGCTTTTATTTGCCAATTAGTAGTACCTCCTACCTAGGTAAGAACCCACAAGAGTAAGTGATGACCCTCCCTTTAGGGTCCTCAGCACGGGGGCTCACAGGTGCCTAACTAACACCGAGGGGTGAGTCACAGGACAAACTGGGAAGGAATAAAAGACCTCGCCAGAGCTGGGAATTCGGAAGTCACCAAAGACGACTGGCAAATGAAAGGGACCGATAAGGCGGTAATTGCAGCTGAATCACTCCCTCTCTGGTCGTCTAAATGGGTTCAGGGCTGGAGAGTAAGCAAGAAAGAGGAGCTCTGATCTGATCTGATCAGGTCTGACTCATCCCTGCGCAGCCAAGGTTCACATGGCAGGGAAAGGAAATGGAGTAGCTCTGGAGGCGAGGTTAGAAAATGCAGGGAAAGGACTGAATTTATGTAGCTGGAAAACACTGAGGAAGATGCAAAGTGACTCTCAAGATTTACATAACAAAGGCTCTTCTGGCCGGCATGGTTTAGTCTGGCCATATTTGAATACAAAACAATCTATTTGCATTTGTTACACCTTTCCAAGGAGTTAGCTACACATATCTAAGGAAAAGAAGTAAAAGTGCTTAATCAGTGTTATGTGTCAGGTAACTGCTTCCATTTTACTGCTATGAAGTATATTTACCGCACTCTGGACTGTTTCAGATACAGATGAGCTGAAAAAGCCACTCTGACTAGCAAAATATTTCTTTAATTATATTACTTGTGTTACAAAACATCATTTTTTATTTTAGGAATCTTTCAAATTTTTCTGATTTAGGAGGAGACAATCTGCTAAGTGTAGCTCACTGATACAAAACTTTGCAACTGGCCCCGTGCTGAACAAGGAGAGAGGCCAGGAAACAAAGTATGGAATTACAAGGGTGAATTCATGCACCTGAGATATGCCAGCCAAACTGGATCACCCTGAATGTGGTTTTACACAGGGTTCTTACACCCTTCAGCCATTCAGGTACAACACGACTCGACTAATTACTAAGGCCCACGCTACTGATTACTAATCACAGTAAAACTTTGCAAAGCAACTGTATTTCTGCAGCATGCTTGCTGCTTGTCTATTGATCCAGATGTCCCTGGGGTCAGTCTTGCTCAAGTTACTTATCTATGATGCCAGATGACACTGGGAGGGTTTCAAAGATGTGCTAGATGGGCTAGGATGCTGGCTTTATCTTGGTTGTCCATGGGTATCCTTTATCCTTTGTGGACAGCTCTAAGCTTCCAAGAAAGCCCATATTTCCAGGGACTGGTTGTTCTTTAGTTGGTTTTACATGAGCAGGAACAAATACCAGTCTCCAGTAAAATTCTACTACCTCGTTACATTGCAGTGTATAATGTGAGCTAATATACATTTACAAAGTTCATACACTTTCATGTTATAAAGACTGATTGATATAATAGTTAGGGAAATGAATTTTCATTACACCCCTCGATCACCTCTGCAGAGCAGCTGAGACAAGTCACTAAATGCAAATTGTCCCTGGTGGCTTTCATGGGATCCACATACACAATTCCCCCCTATAACTGTTTATATTACAATGTATACTCATGATTTTTAGCCCTTTCTTATATCAACTCATCTTTTTTTTTTTTTTTTCAGACAAAAGCTTACTCAGTTGGTCCTTACGTGAAAGCTGAAAGCAAAGTACCTTTGATCACCCTTTTTACCTTTCACTGAACCTTTTCCACTACTATTCTGTCATTCCTGAGCTGAGGGAACTCAGAACCACAGACAGCTTTCAAGATGTGGTCAAATAATAAATTTACAGAGCAGCATAAGGATGCTTTGTTCTCTGTTTCTTTTCAAATCCCAGTGCACAGCTTACATTTTTGAACTCTATTAAGCACTGAAATGAGGTTTTCACAGAAATGCAGTAGTAATTCCAATATTTTGTTGCTGCACAGTACTAGTCAGTTTGGAGCTCATCATTTTATATTTGAAGCTAGGATGTTCTTCCCCACTGTGCGTCACTTTTATCTTTCCAGAATGTAATCTGCCATTTTACTGCCTAGTTATTTAGGCTCATAAGGCCCTTCTGCAGATCTTCAGTGGGCTTCTATCCTTAAGTCCCTGAAAAGCTTGAAATCACCAGAAGGCAGTCACTTGAGTGCCCAGCTCCTTTTCCAAGTCACTTGTGAGTATGTTGAGCAGGACCAAGCACAGATCACTACAGCAGTGTACCTACGGCCAGTTACTCATTCCAAGACACGTGGTCATATGCCATTACTGCTTCGTTTCTTTGACAGCCTTTGTCGAAAGCCTTCTCACAATCCCAACAGGCTCTGTCAGCCAGACCTTCTTTACAAATTTTAAAACTGTTCGTTAAACTACAGTGTTCCAAACTCCACTATTAACAGTGTTTTGTTGCACTGCTGACCAAAAGATGTAACAGGCTCTGAGGGCAACATCTCCTTTTGTAAGTAAAAAATTAATAGTTGAAAGGATTTTTTTCCCCAAAGTTCCCTGTCTGATAGCTTTGGCTTTCCCTTTCCTTTTTTTTGTGACCTGAAGAGTTTACCCCAAAAATCTGAGATTCCCTGAAGATCCGTGTTCACACCTAGACAACAGTAAGGGCAGGTCAAGCCCTGATTCCAATCATTCCAGTGAGGAATTCATTGGAAAATGTAATTTACTTGTGGCTCCTCTTACCACACAGAAACCATGCTGACAGAACAGTCAGCAAAAGAGTTTAACTTTGAAGTCACATACTAGAAAGTTCCATTTTAAAGACAACATTGGAAAGACTGTGGCCCCTGCGTTAAATATGGCTTTCTCTTCAAGCAGAGTGGTTAGATACTGCCATGGCGTTAAAGGTGCTTTTAGAGGGCACAATGCTGGTGGCTAGAATCCTATTTTGTCCCTTCAGATTTTACTAAGAACAGTTTATTTACAGAGAAATTTGGATTTGATAGGAAGCATCCGAGAACATGCAACCACTGCATCGTCATGCTATTTCCCTGAGCAACCCCTGGTGAAATGTATGCCCGCTAAACCCGGTGGTACCGGGGGGGGGAGAATGCAGAGAGATTAATTTTTGGGATCAACAGCTCCTCCTTCGGCCTGTCGCCCTGTCAGAGTCCTCGAGGGAGGCCCAGCAGGCAACCACCCGCCACACCTCCCTCAACACCCTCCTCTGCCATCTTGCAGGTGCTTCAACGCCGGGCCCCCCTCTCCCCCTCACGGCCCGTACCGCCGTTACCGGCGTGGTGCCGGGTGCCCGCCGTGGTTCGGG